GTCTGATAATTGACAGCCTTCCTGAAAGGTGCTGGTGTCCAGTCGTAGTCAGCACAGATTCGCTCAATGAGCAAAGTAACCTGAGGATCAAATGGGTCTCAACCCTATTGCAATTAGTTGTCATTTGTTTGTGCCTCCTAGACACGCGTAGAAATACATATATATATATATGTGTGAATCCATTGTGTATGTGCGCACGATATTCCTTTTGCTACTGGGTGGCCAACGCTCCATCGTTTCCATTGGTCAACTGCTCCGACCAATGTTCCAATTGGTTGCAACCGCTGCTCCAAGCAGTGTTGCAAGTTCCACGCGCAATGAAATCGTGCGATATGAATTTGATCATACCACGTCGTTTGACAGCGCTCTCCAGCAAATGGACAACCTTCTCCTCCATGCGCGTCATCAAATTGGAAACACTTTCACTTTCAAGGCGGCCAATGGCAAAGACCTTGGCTACCGATGTAGCCTTGTGCCAGGTCTCGAACTGTTGCTCAGGCGAACTACCACATCCGGCCCGCTGTAAGATAAGCACTTGTCTGCGGAACTGGAAACAATTCGGAGCTTTGCGGGTCGCAGATTGGACCATGGTAGCGCCTGTCCAAATCGAAGCCATCTTAAAACGTTCCGGCCATCACAGTTCTTCCCCAGAAAAGGATCTTCACAAGTTGATTTGCATAGTCTGCAGGGTAGTCTTCCTCAATCAAGTATGGGTTGATATTTATAAAAACCAGTTGCGACAGAATCTTTGCTGCCGAGTTTCCACTTGGATTGGGTATGGAATCTGACCCCCACAAGTCCTGTTTGCTTCCTCCACTAGTCGGGGTTAGGGTATAGGACTTGTGGGGGTCAGATTTCATGGCCATAGCCAGGTGGATAATTAGAAATGTTTGCCCGGCGCCTCGGCTGGCTTCAACTTTTGCGCGCACGTCGTTGGTCTTGGCGAAGGAACAGTGAATGGTTCCAAATGTCGCCTGGCGCATTCGATAAAAATTCTAAAGGGGACCAAACAGCTAAGTGCGCGAGGGGAAAGCAGCAACATATTCCACTGCGCAGTGTGACCTTGATTTCATGCGCAATCTCATCTTGTAGATTGAGTTCCCGGATCGACTGAAGCACGATGAGGAGTACCACGCAACGCTTCCAGCCCTTCACATAGCCGACTGAAAACGGCGGCAGTAAATGGCCGCCTGGCAAAGAAATCTTCATTGCCGTACATTGCGTTGCTGCTGTGTATGGACATACGTTCTCACTGCGAAATGATAGAAAACGCCAGTAGGCATGGAAAAAACTAAAGATTCATACGGGCAGAGCAAAGTGTTCTGAACGGCTTCTCAAACACTAGCCGGCCTCCTATGGCCGATGGCAACACTGGGTACTCCGAATCCAGGTACTCACGAGGAATCTTGGTGGTATGCACCAGCTCACACCCGGGCAGCGATGGGTCAGACATGAACCTTGCAGAAGACTGACTGCAATCTGAATACTATATTAAAATTAAAGAGTCGCACTGCGAAAGGTACACACTTGAACCGTCACCCAGTCCATCATCATCATCATGGCGAGTTACCCCTCGCACAGCATAACTTCCATGATGAGCTGCCCAACCTCGGGCTCCAGGAAGCCACTGCAACCTGTATCGTGCCGGAAAGCACACATCCAGGGTCTCAGGTACTGTCCTGAGGAGTAGTCAGTCGCATAGCTCAGCCTCAAATGTCTCCAAGCTCCATTGAAAAATCGACCGTGCACATTGGAACAACAGTTCACTGCGCATGAAAACCCATAGCGATTTTAGTCTTGTATTTTGGCGGGTAACTCTGGGTTTGATGGGCAAAAGTCGTCCACCCACCTGGCGAACTCGAGCAGCTGATCCTGCCAAATGCATGGGTTCTTTGCGGAGATATCTATTGTTACAGCACCAACTTCATCAGGCCATCCATGCCTGTCTACTATCAACAACGACTCGATCGCCTTTGCGCTGACAAAACTCTCCTGGGTCTGATACATTTTAGCCAGGTACTGGTCTGGGCCTCCGCAAGGCACCACGTGCTCATCATACCTCAATCAAAAGGTTCGGGCCCCAAAGTTTTACCGACGTTGAGTATCCTTGGTGTCAGCACAGTGTTTCTTAAAGCTTGTTTGGCGTTTGCAAAGGCAATGGGACAAGTATTTGGTTTCCCCAATGTGGTCCAGGTAATCAAGTGTCAATACAATCATTGTCGTTTTAAAGAATCTTGTCCCAGTTCCAAGCAGCCAAGCAATCACCTTCGCGATGTGCGGATGAGAAGCCTGCAAATCTGCAGCCTTCTGGTTGCTGCTCCGCCGGGCCTTCGCGTTGGCATTCTGGTCACTTCCGCCCGATTTGCGCTTGGCCATGGAAGCACGGTGCGAATGCCCGAACACTCCTGAGCCTTTGCGAGATTGCGTGGCCTTTGTAACACTCTCCACAGTTTTGGCTTCAAAGGGTTCAGTGAACCTGCAGCGAATTGAACCCACTGAATCAAAAGCGGGCAAAACAACGGCAATCTCTTGCACACTAGTTCCTTCATTGAGTTCCTTCAGAGCTGGTTAGGAAACCAACCAAACCCACACAAAGATTCTAAGGGTAGGCCCGGCCCAAAAAAAATCCAAAATTTTGTGACATTCTTTGGCATCCTTCAGCGGGTTTCCGCTCAGCTTGGGGAAGTCCAAGCAATAGCACTGAATGAAATGTCCATTCCTGGAACGAAGTAATTTTGCGTGTGTTTCTCCCCAGGAGATTCTGAACGCGCGCGCGCACGCAAAGATCGCCGAAACACATTCTTGCGCCCTACCGCCAAATCACACATCTCTGATTGAGTCTGTAGTGGTGGCTCATGTTAGCATCCCTCAGATGGTATAGGACGTATTACGTAGTTGGAGACCCAATGGATTTGAGACGGATTTGACTTGAGACGGATTTGATTTGAGACGGATCACACCTACGATCAGTCTCAAATTCATTGCTTGACCCTAGGAGCAGGAATGAACCCGATCAAACAAAATCCATCTATAATGAAAATCCGTCTCAAACCCATAGCTAACTTGACTGAGCATGGTCATTTGAGACTGATCGTAGGTCTGATCCGTCTCAAATCCACAACTCTACCCAAAAGTTTGATTTGAGACTGATCGTAGGTCTGATCCGTCTCAAATCCACAACTCTACCCAGAAGTTTGATTTGAGACTGATCCTAGGTCTGATCCGTCTCAAATCGACAACTTTACCGAGAGGGGTCATTTGAGACCGATTGCAGGTCTGATCGGTCTCAAATGCATGGGGCCACACAGTCATGCAATAATATTCAATCCCCAAATTGAATACAAACCAAGAAAAAGAGCCTGGTTTGGAGACTGATCCCAGGTGTGATCAGTCTCAGCTGCACACCCTCCTAAAGATCAATGATTTGAGACCAAAAACCTATCTTGCAAGAGGGGGCCCCTTAAACTACGCTGCCGCCGCCAAAATGGCAGGAGTGCCACAACGTTTAGGGTTTAGGATCCCGAACGTTTAGGGTTTAGGACCCCGAACATTTAGGGTTCATTAGATACCGACAAATCAATTCAGCGCCTTCATTTTTTGGCGACACAAGGCTTAGCCTTAGGTCAGGTATCCCATCTGCACCCTGTCAGTATAGGCCGAAGCTGTTGGAAAGCCGTGAAAGGCCTTTGAAAAACACGTGCGTTCGGTCTTCAAACCATCACCTCGCCTTCCCTTTGCCTCGACCCTTGGCTTTGCCCTTGCCTCTGCCTTTAGCAAAAGGCTTTGGCTCCACAGCGTTGCCTGCCCTCACTGCCCTTTGACTCATCTTCAGAGCTTCTGCCCATGGAACTCCCAAGCTCCACGCTCGCGCGGCTGCGTCATAGACGATTTTGCGCTTGGCCCGGATCAAATACAGCCGACCTTCCTTCTGGTTTTTACCTCTCACAAGCCTTGGCGTGAGTGTCAAACGAACCCAAGCATAAAATAGACTTGCTGCAGCGTAAAAAGTAAAAGATACCGCAATGACAATCTAGACTCTTCAATGGGTTTGCTGGCGTGTGGAAAGCCTCTGGCTGCGGCATCACCAAAGCACTTGCCGAAAGCGGCCGCGGCCCAGTCTGAATCGCACACCTGAGTCCAAATTGCATGATGTGAGAATTCTAACACCGCGAGCCCTAAAACTTCATTTAACTATGACACAAGAGTCTCAATCCACCAAGGCACGCACTCACATCCAGCAGCGGATCCCCAGGCAAGGACCCATCGATCCAAGATTCCAGCCAATCTGCTGCTTCAGCAAGATCAAAAAGAGGAAAGCGGAGACTGGGCAGAAACCCCCTGATATGCTTCTTGAACTCTTCGGAAATCTCCCGCTTCTCCGCAAGGGCTGCAGGGAACCCAAAGTAAAGAAAAACTTAGAACCTCTCCGTGACCCATGGATGAAAGACTGGATGTCCGACCGTCCAGACATATTGTTTCAATTATCAGGCCTGCCGGTAGGCCCAAGGGAAGGAGTTGAAGAGCCATCTCTTTTGGGTACACGCACGTCGTGAAAGTGTAGTTGCTCGAGGTCATGAAGCGTTTGGTCCTGCGGGTTTTGGAAAAAGGAATTGGTTTTATGTGTCCACTATTATTGGGGGCTCCTTATTGTGGGGCGCTGCAAGGCAAAGTGTGACCGAACCTCACAAACCCCCAAAAAGGGTGACCGACAAACCAACATCGCATAAACCGGACCTGAGCACCACATCGTCAGGGTGCTCAGCAACGTGACTCCATAGTTGGTTCGAAATCTCGTTGGACCGCAATCCTTGAAAAGCAATGAACATGACATTGCACTGAAGTTTCCTGTAAGTATAGTACGGTCTCCAACACTTGTGCGTCCAAAGCACCAAGATCTCTACGCCGAGAAAACAAGAACTCGTGCGGCGCACCACTGCCGCCCACACCATGCAGATGGAAAGGCACGCTGTTCGCGTAGAACCCAACCCTCAGATCCACTTTCAGTCATCAAGAAACGAACGGTGCCCGAATGCGCCACACAAACACTTGCGCCCTCCCACCCCCCACAAAACACTGTTAACTTCTGTGTGAGCAAGGCTCCAATCCCGCACGTCATTCATCACGACGCAATGTCGCTCGCACTCAAACGGCAGCTTGGCGTCTTTGAGGAACGCTTCGATCATCGCTTGAACATCTCCTGGGGTTTGAAGCTTCCTTTGTTTGAGCATAAATTTCGACAAAGTGCCGAATATCTGATCCACATCTTCATGGGTGTGTCCCGTTCTCAAATATGAGCAGCATATTGAACGCAGGTTCGCTCCACTGACCTGGGACGCCGCCCAGCGAAGACCGCTGTTATTCTTAAATTCACGACAGCAGTTGTCGTGTTGGAGGTATAGATCTGTGGTTGGCAGATCTTGGCCTTGCCTTTGGAGCAGGGTTAGACAGTGGCTTAAAAGCTCGATGGATGCGTTGGGGTCCTTCTTGCAATCTGCATTGCTGATGCTGAACAGAATGAATCTGCCGTGGCAGATAGCCAGAGCGATGTGCAACTTCACTTTTTGCATGGTGGAAAACTCTTTGCCTTGAAGGACCGCAGAACGAGGAAGCGAAAATTTGGTCTGGTCCATGCCGTCTGCTATGACGCAGACGGCAGAACCTTTCATTCTGCTCCAGCTTTTGCGCTGATAGTACAGGCATCGGTCCATATACTGTGCACGGAGATGCTCATGGAATAACCTAATCTGCTCGGTCCTGGCTCGCATGTGGGATCCCAAAGCTTTCACCATGACGCGGTGTCTGACGCATACACTGCAGGTGGCGTGTTGGCTTGCCTGCCGGAAGCGTAGCATCGGAAATTCCGATAGCCACACCTCAATCATCCATGATCTGAAATTGGGACATGTATATTTAAAATTGATGACCATGCACTTGTAAGGGGAACATCAAAACGTTGTTCAGTTGGCAAGGCGCTCTCCAGAACGTAGGAAAGCTTGGAGGAGGATCCATTTCAGACACCACTAGAAACTGTTGGTATATCTCTTTCATTGAGCCAGGCGGAAGCCATTTGACCTCCAGAGCATTTGGTCCCTCCAAGCGCTCACGGTTTATCTCTACTTGACGCTTTCTCTTCCGAGGCATTTTGTTTTCTACCTCCGACGCTGACATCAACCGGTTGAGCTCAGCCGAATAAGCATCGAGAGCTTCTGTCACATCTAGGGAGGAGACAGGAATAGAAGAAGGATTCACATGGTCAAACGTGCTGTCTTTCAAGTCGGGCAGAGTCTCCGCCGTGCTCTCGTACAAAGTGGTGAGGTAGCTGAATATTTCAGCGCTCGCTTTCGCTTTGCGCTGCCCCACATGAGAAGTGGGTCGCTTCAGGTAGCGGAGATCTAGTGGAGGGCTAGGTTGCTTGCTTCTGGCAGCGTCAAACAACTTCTCTAGCCGCTCTGAACCTGCAGTCCCGCGACCAAAAAACCCTTTTGAGTTGTTGCAAAACTATCAATCAGGCACACCCCACTCCACCCAGAAACAACGCATCGAACAACGCCTAACACTTCAATTCATTAAACAAAACGACGAGAGTCCAAGCCCATGGATGGAACCCCAGGCACGGCGACACACAGCAAGGTCCTGCAGCTTCCAACTGGTTGTGCCACTTTCGGTCTGGCCCGCTAAAAGCTCTTTGCACGCATCGAAAACCTGCAAGCGACTGACTCTTAAGGAATAAGATGCCTGCTGTGATGGGGGCCTGTGACATTCTTGAGACCTCTAATGTTCATTACGCTTGACTCTCTGCATCAAATAGCGAAGAACAATTTGGCATCATGACTAGCATCATGATTGACCATGCTCGCGCGGGACTGGACCATAAACAAAGCCCGCCCCTGGAAGCTAGGATACTCAATCCAAGCGCAATTGGAACTTTGGCCTTGCACTATGAGAAAAGACCCCCTCAAGTCTTACGCCAATTGCAATAAACGCATATTTTGAAGGGAGACAAACCGGACTTGAGGGTGTCTTTTCTCATAGCCCAATCCAAGTGCCAAAGGTATAATTTAGCCGGAAAACAAACTGATCTTGGTCCATCTTGTGTAGTTGATGCCAATGTCGGATATACTCCAGCAACGAAGAAAACTTGGCCGGCTCGATAAACTGCTGGAGGCAGCGCTTCTTCGAACACCAGCACTCTCGCCCGAGAACGGAGCGAAGATGTTCTTCTGTCGTTTTTTCCTCTCGGGACGGTCTAGACAACCGTCTCTTTTTGGATGAGCTTGTGCCTGGCTCCTTTGGAGCATCGGCTTCAGCGTCATCATCACTCAATGTTTCAACAACGCTCGCAACAGGCATCGGGGATGACGCAAGCCCGGCAGAAATCCACAAGAGAAAAGTTGCGCTAAAAGCTATGAAGAGCTTGGTTCAAAAGAACAGCTTTTTGCAAACTTTGAGGTCCTGGATGAATCGAAACAGTGTTTGCCAGGGAATGCCTTGAGCAGAAACCAACAAGATTTTTGCCCGCTCCCTCCATTGTGCGGCAGGCAAAACATTGAAATAGTTTGAACACCACAGACTGCGACTTTTTTTAACCTTTAACCGTCTCAACTCCCGCCAATCTCATTGACGGCAATCTAAAAGAGGATCGAAGAGGCAAATGCCTGCAATCCGCCAACCCCGAACATGCTCTAACCTAGTCTGCAATGCGCTGCATCAGCTCTGCCGAATTCCCAGAAACGCCGAGCTTATCTGAATCAGGATAACCTGAGGAGGGTGATGCAATTGAAAGAGAATAGATGGTGGGAAAACTGGAGAACATTTACACAGGAAACCAATGCGCAACCTGTTTAGGCAAGTAACCATGCTTTTGGCAAGACCTCTCCCCTCTCACCAGCGATACGTATTTCACCACAGGAATCTTGATGACAGGTTCTTTCATCAAGCGGGTACCCGGAGAGTCCGGAAAGGGGCTGCAATGAACCAGCAAATCAGCTGTTGGCACTAAAAAGACTCTCTTTGATGAGGTGTAGAAGGCCCTGCACGAGAAGCACGCCGGGTTGGGGTCATCCGGGAATGCATCAGCCTTCGCAACCTCTGGCCAGGCAGCGACGTTGCGAAAGACGATCCTTGGCCAAGCCGACGCAGACACGCTTCCAGCCTATCGCACAAACACTTGAAGCTAGCAAAGCGGAGCTGAGCACATGGTATGGTAGCAGCAGTAATCACAAATAGACAAGCCTAGAATCGCAACACGGCTAGGATCGTCAGACCCTTCCAGAACAAGGCATCGTTTGACGTCCAACTCTGGAATCGAGCCTGGCAAAACAAAGTGCAAAACAAAGTGCGAGATAGACTCACTTGGAATGATTTCGCTGTTACTGACAGCAAAGGGAATTGATCAAACGGGATTACGAACACCATGGCCAGAATCTCTGAGCACATATCTTCGCTTGCACATACCTGTTTAGAATGCCTGAGGCTCATCACTGGTCAACAAAATTGACAGATAGAAGGACGCTCGTACCGCGCCTTCCGAAAGCTTGTGGTAGCCCAAGATGAAGGTATCCTCCTCGAACAAGAGCCCCTTCTGATCAAGTTCCTGCAATCAATCTAGAACGTTACAAGTTGAGAGCGCATGTCCCCAACCCATGCCTCCAGGAAATTTGCTTGGAGCACATGAAAATCTTTCTTCTCGTCGAACTCGTACACTGGGTCTGGCAACGGCGATCAATCGAACAAAATCAATGCCCCACCCATGCACGCATACACTATCCATACAGCCCCTTATTACATCCTCCACCCATCCATCGTTCCATTCATCCATTGATACATCTTCAAGCAAGAACATCATAATCCACAGGCGTGGTTCATTCTCTTTGTTCGTTCATTCGCTGTTCGTATGCATTCAGACACCTTCAGTCATTCTTCATTCATTCATTCATTCACATTCATTCATTCATTCATTCATTCAATCATTCGTTCCACAAGGATCCTTGTGACACCTTTCGTTTCTAAGTCCTTTCAACCTCTCCTGGCTCATTCGTTCCTTCATTCCTTCATTCATTCATTCATTCATTCATTCATTCAACCATTCATTCATTCAACCATTCATTCATTCACTCATTCATTCATTCATTCACTCATTCATTCCTTCATTCATTCGTTCATTCATTCATTCATTCACTCATTCTCTCTCACTCATTCTCTCTCAAGTTTTGAGGGAAGCTGCTTGGAAAATCATGTGATGTGTCTAAAGGAATCTGGTGTTCTTCAGACGTTCCGTTGCCGCGTCATGAAAAAATGTCCACTAAGTCCGAAACACATTCAACCAGTCAAACCAACCAACCAACCACGCACACATACAGACAGACTGACTGACTGACAGACACACAAATGGACATTGATGCACGCAGGCGTCCATCCATCCATCCATCCATCCATCAGTGCATACACCCATCCATACGTCCAACAAGAAACGGTGCAAAAAGACCTAGTGCAGGCATGCGCTCATCCTTCCGAAACGTGACACTGTGGCCTCCACTTGTAGTTGAAGAGCTGCCGCTGCTCTGAGAAGCATTCGCCATTTGACTTCACCGGCAGGTCGCAAGGAAAGCAAATGCACAAGTTGACTGAACAAACAAAACTACGGCATTCGTTGACCTTGCAAACGGCAAAACTACGCGCGGGCACCGGCATCAAACCCTTCTGAAAACTTGCGAACATCGCAAAACTTTTCCCACGAAAGATTGAGTGAACCGATCCAGGCGCACCCATTGCCAAATGCAGCTATGTTGGTCTAGCGTCTAAGCAACACTAAAGCCCTCAATTGATTGCAGATCGCACATCAAACATGAGTAAACAACAGCTGAAGTACTGAAAAGTTGTCCAACCATCAAACGTCAACACTTGAGTCTCATAGAGTTATAGCCTATAGCCTGGAGCGATCAAACTAAATTGCTAGCACGCGCTTCAGCTAGCATTCTAAGAAGCACGTGGAAGCCTAGGGTCGCACATTGAGGCACGACCATATTGCCGAGCTGGTGCAAGCGGCCACGATCCTGTGTGTCCTGCTTGGTTTTGAGCCAAGTGCTCATTGGGACCTGATTCCACTTGTTCCAAGGTCTCTGCAAATGATCTCCCAACGCCATCGGAATCTCCAAATCCTGGCGTTAGAATTTGCACGCGCCTGTTATTGAAGTCAAATCAAGGCAGTCCTCCAGAGAAATGCGGCGAGGGGGTGCGCAAAGCAAAAAGACACGATCTCGATTGGCCTGAGCACCAAGAGCACCGTGCGCCGGACAAAGGCATCTGAATCAATAAGAGCAGAACGGCTAGGCCAACGTTGAACAAGGACATGGTGGCCCAAAGAACTCGAAGACCTCGCTTGTCGGCCTCCTGTCGCATCGCGCAAATCTGTTGGTTTGTTTCCTGGTGAAGCGAACCTGGTGAATGTACTCCATAAGGGCTCTCATTTCCGGCTTCTTCCCCAGAAGGCCCTTCACGTTCTCCAGCAAAATGAAGGATCGCCTCAGAACAAGGATTATTGAGCTGAAGTGTTGACAAGGGCACGCCTGAGCTTGGAACGTCTCCTTGTCCATATCGTCCCACACAGCCCACACTCGCTCCAGGAGAGAAGTGCGACAGTCGCCCATCCCGGCTTGTTTGCCGGCCACGCTGGTTCCCTGCAGCCATGAACTGAACATGAAAGAATTGTCGAACACATCTGTCGTGGAAGGTGCCAATTTGGAATGAAAGGTGCGGGACTCGCCTGACAAGGGAAGCCGGCCGTAATGCCGGCTGCCTTCATGCCAGAAGCATTGAACGTGCTCACGTCATCAAACACTGGACACTTGTGTAGCAGGTTGTCTCGCATGCGCTGCTCGAGCACACGCTGACACTCAGGGCTCTTCTCCACCTTGAAGGGCAAATTTTTTTGCGATTGAAATCCAAGCTGGTGCATCCTGGGGTTTTGACCATGCAGACTGGTTTCAGCCACCTCAGAGGGTGAGCCGCGCAAAGAAACATCTTCAAACAGTCTATATATCAGACTTGACCAGCCACACTCAAATTGTCTTGCCAAATGAGACATTGTTTTCCTATCACTGCGCAGTTCGAGGTTTCTTGGAGCTGGAGGCCGTGGAGTCTTCCTCCGGGCAAAGACACAATGAAATCTCAAGGCCAAGTCTGCCAATTCAATTAAAAGCCTAAGCCAATAAACGTTTCAGAATCGACGGCCTTCACTTGACTTTGATGCGCTTGGAGTTCTTCAAGCTCTGTCCACTCCATATAGGCCCAATTCCAGACCCACCTGAAGCCCAGAGAACAGGAATTGAGGCATCCAAGAAAAACAATAAACCGAGAGCTCTGCTGAAAAACTGAGAACTCTGCTGTCGGCCTCCCCATCTTGTGTGAACTGGCGTGCCACGGGGCACCCTGCCAACAGCTCATATTTGACGCAAAAAGGATTTCAAGCGCAAGCGCCTGGCCTTATTTGGTTCACCCCAACGCATCGCACCACACCAAAGCCGGAATCAACACACGGGGGAACAGCACCATGCTTTTGCCATGCCATTGTTGCCATTGCTGCAGAAGGCGATGTGACAAGTTGGAAAACAAAATCTGTGAAATTGAATGTTGATCCATGTGACTGAACCTACATGTAAGAACAATTTGGCAAAGTCCTGAGACAGGTACATTGATGACAAATTGGCTAGTTAGTTCTTCGCGACTCACGTTGAAATTTGCAAATGGCAGCCTTCAGGGACAGTGGTTCCTGCTTGAAGAATCATGTAACCAAAGGGACTGAGCATTGGGGGCCCTGGCTGAGAGAGCCCTAGTTCCAAGCCAGCGATGCCCGTGAACAAGCTGATTACCGGCAGCCTGTCCTGAAAAACAGCCAGTGTACCCCTGCCCACTGACTCAAGCATGTTCTTGAGAAGGGCTCCGCGCCTCGTTCTTGGCTCCAGGAAACATTTCATGAAAGACCTTCGGGTCCACAGCGCCAGGCAGAGGGGATGTCCAGCCCGCAGGTAGTCCTCCATACGGTAGGAAAGCTGACGCGCATGATCGCGCATGCATCTGTCGGTCCATGAGTC